AAACGGGTCTGGCACCGCGCCAAACTCATCCGGCCTGACACGCCCTTTCGCCCGCAGCGAACTGGACTCTAGAGATGATGAGATTTGGTCATTAGGCTAGACGCGCACCAGAAATTCAAAGCTTCACTGCCCCAATGCTGCCAGTTTTCCATCTATTCGAATATAAATTATGTTATCAGCCTCACCTGTGGAAGAGAGCCATGCATGGTCCAGCATCGAGCTCCATTTTGCATACATCACCCATCGTGAAAGCTGGATTGTGGTAACGGAACAACCTTTCTCTGGCCAGACTTGCACTGACTGCAGTATTCTTTTTTTGTAAATTTAGGATGGTAGAGCTACAAGAAATGAAATGAAATGCGGGCGAAACCTCTATAGTAAGCGCTTTTCGGCGACGGGCGGGAAGAATTTCCCCTTTTGCTCCCCCCCCCCATGGACGAGTCGAGCCATCTAGGGAGCTAGCTCATGAGCTTAAGGGCCTCAAGGGGTGAACTTTCATGGCGGCTCGACAAACTTTCTCCAGCTTCACAAAATTCACAGGTTTCGCCAGAAAGACACTTGAAAACCGGAACTAGCGGGAAGAGCAAAATGCCCCTCCTCTTAGCGGAGCGGCGAAAGTGCAAAGCCCTTCCCCCATCAACGAACTGCCTGCTGATGCTCGAGCACTATTTTCTTGGAAATCTAGGTGCTTCGTAACAACTCTCGGATCAGCGCTGAAAATAGCCGCAATCACGAAACATCAAGGAAGATGTCTAACATTTCAGCTTTCTGGCAACGGCGTTCACCGCCGTTACCAGCTCATCAGGGTAAAAAGTCATGAACTGGCTGCGTTCCGAGCCATGCCTCCTCACACACCCTAACGTTTGCAGGGACATGTCGGTACGCGTGAGGAGTGGCAGGCTTTGGCACATTTAGAGAGCGTAAGATTGCACCGGCGGTGCTACACATCAGTCCCACGAATGTGAGATCCACTTTTGTGTTCCCATACTAACAAGATGTTTTCCCTTGACTCACCTTCCTTGTGGAAGTTTTCAATCGTAAAATAGAACGAGAGTTTTCTAGTTGTCTAATAAAACATTAGGACCCAGAATTAGAACATCGCTTACCAATGGTCAGCAAGCCGAATAGCAGAGTAAGAACAAAACACGATTTCATCGCGCTAATCAGTTTTTCTGAAACAACTGATGGCAACGTTAATAGGTTACTTGTTCATATTTTTATTTATTTATGTGTCAGTGAAATACGACTCATAATACGCTTTACAGGTCGCAATGCCGCTTCTCAGGTCCCGAGCAACAACTGAAGAATGAGAAAAAAAACCACTCGCAATCTGCTCTTGAATAAAGGTCAGGTGAAGTTAGGCGGAGGGCAGAAATCCCTTTGCTGAGAGGGTATAGCCATAGTACTTGAAAGCGAATAGCACGACAAATCCCGGAGACGTAGGATTAATATGCCCTGCAGGACAGAATCCGACGCCTCTGAGCAGGCACTGCGTGAGGAGGTGTTGAGCTGCAACATTTCCACCCGGAGGACCGCTGCGACAGCCCGCTCACAGATGTCCGACCGACAGTGGTGTCGCTTTTTTGCCATTTTCCCCAGTACCATTTTAGACCGAGCACCAAATTGTCGGAAAAAGCCTTACTCCCAGTATCTACTGATTTCTACTAATTTC